CAGGGGTGGGTTTCAACCGGTTCCCGGCAGTCCCTGCGAACCAGTTGGTCGGCAAACCTGGAAGTAAGTAACTTCCGGGAACGGCGAAGGGCTGACCCGCCCACGCTCCTTACCCGGTTTTGACGAGTTCTGCGCTTCCACACATGCGCAGGACGCATACAGCGCCTGCGTGATCCTCCAGGAGCATCTGTGGAGCATCGCACAGACGCTAGTACGCATGCGTGCGCCATGCTTGTGCACAAGGATGCCGCCGGCCCGTTCCAACCGAACCGATTGGAACGGGGCGAGAAACCCACCCCTGATCTGTACCTGTCCTGTTTGGTTGCTATACCAAATTAGACAGTTACAGAAATAAAAATGACAGACTCAATAATTCCTCTGTAGAACTGTATTAATAGCTCCTGGGACAGCATGAACTTCCTGAGTTGATTCAGGAAGAACATTCTTTGTTGTACCTTTTTTTTAAATGACGGTTCTAATGTTAAGTGTCCATTTCAAATTGGAGAGATTTGGAATGGACACATTATGGGATACAAAAACTTGAAGGATGCTACTGCTGATATTGTACTACCTGCCTGATACAGTAAGAGGTGGCAGAATAGAAGGGCTCCTAAAATCCACTCTCATCTCTACAGTTTTAAGCATGCTAAGCACCAGATTGTTCTAGCTGCAACAGAGGGCCAGTTGTTCAACTATCCCATGTATACGCAGATTAATCACTGTCTGAAATGAAACCAATGACTGTTGTATCATCTGCAAATTTCAGTTGAGGGTGAATAGGCAATCCTTTTTGCATGTGAAACTTTATTTTTATTCTCTGGGGAATAGCTAATGGGTATCTTCATGCAAGAGACACGCAGCTTCCATGCACAGTATTCTTCCATGGCTGAATGCATTTTTCTCCTGAATTATCCAAATGTTTTTAAGATATCAGAGCATCTTTTCATATACAAGCATAAGTGCTTCAGCTGAACAGATGCAAGGTTGAGACCCATGAAACTGCCATTTTGTTTATAACTAAATCATAAAAAAATGCTTTAAAATATTTGTTCATAAACTAATTGTTAAAAAACAAAGTTGTTGTGAAAACGAAAGTGTACCCTGTCATACTTTACTTACAACAATTAGGAACAATTTAATATGTTTGTTTTTTTAAAAAAAATAAAAAGGGAAAAATAGCTAAACAATGGTTGCAATAGTTAGACTTATATACCGCTTCATAGTGCATTCAGCCCTCTCTAAGCGGTTTACAGAGTCAGCATATCGCCCCCAACNGGGTAAAATGAGGACCCGGATTGTTGTGGGCAATATGCTGACTCTGTAAACCGCTTAGAGAGGGCTGAAAGCCCTATGAAGTGGTATATAAGTCTGCTATTGCTATTGCTATTGTTATACAGGCTTTCTCCAGCATGGCTGGAGTTAAGCATGGCATCCAACTTTCAATATTAACGAGTTACAGTATCAAAAAATGAAACAATTCATTTTTTTAAAAAATGCACAATGGGGGGAAACTGGATCGCACTGACGTTTTCATGGGAAACGGTGTTTTCGCTCTCTCGTGATTTCGAAGGGGAAACAAAACCAACGCCTTCATTTTTCACTTGACAAGCGTTACCATGAGTCGTCTTTTTTTTCTTTTCTTTGCACGAGCAACTCGGCGTCAGCCATGACAGCGGAATAACCAGGTGCATGGCGGTACTGCAACGCAACCGGCTGCTTTTTCGGAGGCCAAGGCCCAACGAGACGTCTTCCGAAACCGCGGCGAACGCGGTCAAAATCCTGCCCCGCCCAGGCCAAGAGAGAAAGCGACTTTGACAAAGGCGGCCTATTAAACCCGCAGCTTGGAAGGTGTCAATCAAACCGAGGGTCAAAGAGTCGGAAAGAGAGCCGAGAGAACCTTGAACGAAAAGCCCGCTTTGCTTCGGGCTCCTCCTTATGTGACTCACCGGAACCACGTGGGTCCCATTAAGCGGGGCCGGGCAAAAAGGAAGGCGAATCCGGCTAGTTGTGGTTGTGGTGGTGGTAGTAGTGAGGGGGGGAAAAGAGAGATGGAGGCGCTGACTGCGGGTAGCGTGGCGGCGTCTCTTCCATGCGCGCCCTTGACGCCGGAGGAATTGTCCGGGCAGCGGAATTCCCCGAGAGCAAAGCCGAATCTCGCCAGGTCAGGCGGGGCGCGGGGCGGGTGGGAGCGCCGCCATAAGCAGAGCGTGAGAAAAAAAAAACACGCCCGGGAATCTGCGCCGCGAGGCCGGGGGGGAAGGGGTTACGTGCACCCTGGAGCTTCTTAGGGTGGGTGAGTAGGGAAGGGGGGTCGCCCTTTTACGGCTGGCACATTTCCCGGGCCCGGAGCCACAGATGCCAAGCTGCTTGCTTGCATTGACGTGACGCGGACTCCCGGAATAGACGTATCCTTCCGAGGTCGGTAAAACGAGGACCCAGATTGTTGTGGTGGGGGGGGGGGCAATAGGCTGACTCTGGAAACGGCTTAGAGATGGGTGTGAAGCGGTATGTAAGTATCTAAGTGCTATTACTAGGTTTAGGTTTAGGTTTCGTTTTATTTATATGCCGCCCTATTCCCGGCGGGACTCAGGGCGGCGCACAAACCCAAGGGAAAGGGAAACACAAAAAACTACTATATCCCCCCCCCCCCCCCCCCCCGGAGGATGGGGACCCGACTTCAAAATAGGCAGACGAGAAATGAAGAAAATTAAAATCCGGCGCAATTTGGAGGCAGAAAAGGAGGGCTGCCTTGCGAAGGTCCC